TTGCACATTGACTGTTGACTGCTGCACATGCTGCTCCCATGCAGCATACATTCTCTATTATATTCTTATATATTTTTATTATATTGCTGCATTTGCTGCTTAAAGTGCCTTAGATTTTGTGTTACTTATTTATCTACTTTATATTTCATTTGTATTTTGTGGCGTTCATGTGGATAGCAAAGTAAGAATTTCACTGTAGAGGGAAACACGTTTCCTAACTGTGCATATGACAAATAAACACTTTGACTTTGATGCAGACTCATGTGAGAGTGAGCAGGTGAAACTGTTTCTCCTTGTCTGTTTGAAATGAAAACTTGATGACAAGCACATCAGTGAAGAAACCTTTGGTTTACTGTGGTGCTGACCAGCTGAGCAATCGACATCAGCCCTGTCCAATTGAAACTTGTGCTTTTACTGATGTACTTCTGTGTTTGTGTTCCTGCAGGAAACACCCTCCTGATGCACAAGGTTCCTCCTCACCTTCCTCATCATAGTCACAGCAGGTTACTTTAACAGGTTGGTGCAACTCAAACCCCTCTCTCTCTCTCTGCTGATGACATGTGCCAAGACAGGGCATCAAGTTGTGCACCATAGCAGCCAACGACCTCGCACACGGCTGCCACATGGCTGCCGATGATGTCTTTATGAGTCACCACTTTGGGCAATGTTGGTGTTGTGTTTAGTTGCAATAGAGATGCTGGTTGCTCTGTGGTCAGAGTTGTGTTAGGTAATTTCTTAGTCAGATAGATATTTGTTAGACCTCTGTTGTATTAGCAAATGTTTAGTGGAGACAGGCTGTCTATGCTCAGGGTGTTAAATGCTTAGTTCATTGTCATGAGTTCTGCAGGCTGCATCTAGGCCAAGGTCAACTAGATTGCAGAGTCTGCAGGCAGGATGAATATTGTTAGTAGCATGATATGTTCAGCCGTAATCTTAATCATAATATCTGGTCCGAGGCTTACTGTTCGGACATGTCCCTGAATGTCCTGTATGTTTTTAGATACACACCACTAATCAACAGCCACACACTTGAATTTTCTCCATGTTTTGACTACTGCTCTGGTCAGCTGCCAAGCTGGCATATCAGGTGACGTCACGGTTTGACGTGGCCTGTGTAGGATGGGGCTAGCCCAACCAAGTGATTAAATTGTATAGGCTATTAGGTTCGGGGGCTTTTCATCTTCCGGGCTGCCTGCGCGCAGTTTTGGGGGTGGAAGATGCCTGGACGTGTGATGTTAATTTTGCCTGTGATCCTTTGAATAAACCAGCACGGTGTTCCTGGTTTAAAGAACTGGGAAATATCTTTCAGTTGCCTTTAGACAACACCTGTAAAGCACTTTATAACATTAATATAATTAAATATAATATTAATATAAATCAGCTTAAGTGTTGCTGCGTAATAAGAGTTGCTGGTGCTGCATTGTCGGTCAGAGCAACCAACAGTTGGTCGGAGTTGCCCATAGAAGTTGCAGAGTGTTGAGTGGTTGGCGGAGGATGCAGATTCATTCATTCATTCAAAGATCATTAGTGTGTATTCCACTGTGTTATTGTGTGTTACAGTGTGTGTAACTGAGCAGGCTTTGTGTTCAGTTTCACTGTGCTGCGGTGTCTGATCACGTGTATTCACACACTCTTCTGTATAGGTGTTTTTCTCATTGTATGTACATTATAACACAATGTGTGTAGTTTGGTGTAACACAGTGCATCTGCACCCTCCCTCACATGTTGATGGAAGCAGAGAAACACTGCACTCACTTTGCTTCTGTAGGCAGCTACAGTTTGTTGTTGTTGTTGTTGTTGTTATGAACTGGTTGTTGGTCAGTGAAAGCTTTGCTACAGTCCAACACATCATCTGGATAAATTCACACACCAGAATCAAAGCTGACAAAGGACTACAGAGGCTTATGAACTGATCAGATGTCAGGCTCCACTGAGCTTTCGAATCTTCAGTGTGACTGTTTTCTATCTGTGTGTTAAATTCAGCCCGTTTCCATTCCAGTATTAAACATTCAGCAGTGACTACGTTTCTCCATCAGGTTTTAACCTGCGACATGAAAGGATTTAGTTTGTCTACATCGACTTCACAGCTTGCTTTCCTGTTAAATCATCAGGAGCATCTCAGGCACAAAAACATCCTTCAAATTAAATCAAGTTCAGTTTTTATTTTCCCGTCATGTTGAGCTGCGACTCGTCGTCTCTCTGCCTCACGTTTCCTCCCAATTACTACGCGTCACCTTTCACCTCCTCCCCTCCCCCTGCCTTCATTACTCCGCCTGGTTTGTTCGTCTCCCTGCAAGCTGCTTTTCACGCTCTCTAACCCTCCCCCTCCATCACCCTCTTCCCCTCCTCCTTCCCCCTTAAAGCCTCTTCACTCGTCCTTCATCTTTTGTTTCTGCTGGAAAAGCTCACACCTGATAAACACACACCACACCCAGAGATAATAGTACAAGCCCAGTGACTGACTTTTTCAGTTGAATTTTAAGGGTCAGATGAAACTGGTCAGAGTACAGTGACGTGACGATACACACAAGAATATACTACACAAAACCAAATAGAACATATTTAAAAGGCAGAATAGACAAATAGACCCTGTGGGTTCAAAGGAAATGTTTGCTACAAGCTGGTCTTCTTAAACAAAGTATTATCTCACTGTGACTCAATAAATTAAAGCTATTTTGAAGTACAAACGTGTGTGCGTGTTTGACAGGGATAAGACCAGGACTTTATTAAGGCACTAACTGCTGCTAACAACACAATGGCTCTTTTTACATTTCTCCACCTTTTAATAAGCAGCTTGTGGAGCTGGAGCTACATGCACTCTGACTTTTTGTGAGTTACTCCAAGTGCAGCTGGTTTTCTGAAAACACGGTTTGTGTTGTTGTTGTTGACGTGAGAGAGCTGAGTTCTGTGGGTTCTGTACAGTGTGGTGTGTTTGGCTCTGCTGCAGCCTGAGCTTTCGCCTTACAAACGCACATGATGCAACTCTAAGCAACAGATCACCGACCTGGACTGAGAACTCCAGGACCATCTGGCATTTTAGTTAAGTTTTAGTTTAAGTAATTTCTATTCATGGAGCTTAGCTGGGAATGGGTTTTAAAGGATGTTATTTCTGTATTTTTCTTTTCATGCAGATTTAAATCAACAACATGTTAAATCTGAAGTACCTCAGGGGTCAATTTTAACAACATTGCCATATATGTGATGTGAGTTTGCTGCTGTTTTATATCAAATCTCAAAAACCGACAGTGTGTTCCTGTATCTATCAGCACCTTGTTTCTTCCTGGCTGTGGCTCATTGGTTCCTAGAGAAGACATCCATCTTTAAAAACACATTACAAATATAGTTGTTCACTCACTCCGGTCGACATCTAAGTCTGGCCAAGAGCCTATCGACACTGTTAAGTACTGGGGGCGCAACTCCTCTCAGTACTGCTCTGGCCGTTGGGATGGTTTTCCTCCTCTGCCCTTGCCATTGAGGACATCCATGTCCCTCCTCCACCGAGCGTGCAGATCACTCACCATTTACAGCATGGTTGCTGTCTATTTAACCCATAGATGGGCCTTGGTTGGTAGGTACCAGGGCTTGTCTGCACACCAGTGGGCCTGCACACCTCAACTCTGGGGGCCAAGCTCCTCTGACAACCCTATCTATTTAGCATGGGGCCGCAAGGAGGCCAGTCGATGTGCGGTGCCATGAAGAGGCATTGCCAGGGTCCTGATGGTGGAGAGGCTATGTACTGTCAGGGAGGACTTACCTACTCGGCCTCCTTTTCACCCAAAAAGGGCTAGACAGCAGCAGTAGCTGAGAGCGAGAGGGTATAAGCTCTTTCTACACTACAACTACCACACTAGACGTATACCACCCATCCTGTGGGCATTCACATAGCTCAATCACCACACAAATATACGGTTTAATTTAAAAAAAAAATCTTAGTAATTTCCTAAAACAGATGCTCACTATCGTTTTTATCAAACAAACAGGAAGAAAGAGAGTATTTGTTTGGGACTATTTTCACTGGAGGATGAATCCACATTTGGACTCTGAGTATCTGTGGACATTTTAATATAAACTGTATATAATCAGTACTTGTTAGCTTATATCACAGGCATTAGTACACACAGTATTTGTTAGTCAGAGACATTCAGTGTTGTTTGTACATGAGATTGAATATATACTTCCTGATTCCTCTACCAAGTTTGTGTAGAAGTTGTCTTGGTGAGGCCCAGATTTGATTGGACTCAACTGAAGAGAACAGACTGTGATTGGTCAGATGTGTGTGTTTCTGTTTGTGCGTGCAGTGTAGTGAGTTTGGCTTAAGGCAGAGATATAGAATCACATCAGTGACAGAATATTTATGTTCGCCGCAACACCAGCTGTCCACAACACTCAGGGTGTGTGTGTTTTTTTTCTGTGTGTTTGATTGATGTGTGTGTGTGTGATTAATATTACATGAGGCTCCTGATGAGAGGTGGACACGCACTCCCAGCTGAGCTCTAACATGCACACACATACATGAATGAATGAAATTGTTGTCACAGAGAAGATGATTCTGAACACACAAACACACACTTCACGCTGTCTTCACACCACATTAAACTCTCTGCAGTCGTCATGCCAACTCCCACCTGCTGTGACCTGTCACCTGAGAACCAGTCAAACAACAGGAAACGAACTTGGACTCACCTGAGCTGAGACAGTGTGCACAGACGAGTCTCACTCTGATTTGTTTTCAACAGCTTCTAAACCAAACAAAATCATACAAATACAACTGATCAGTATAGATTAGTATTAATCCTTTATTGCAAAGAACATGCTTCACGTTCATGGTGTGGCTTCACACTGCTACTAATGCAACAACAACAGAAAGACAGAGGTTAAACTGTAATGCTGAAAAGAAAATGCAGATCCTCTTCTTCTTTGCACCCATGTGTCCTCGTGTTGGACAACAGGGTGAATATTTAGCAGCTGCTTCTCATCATGCACTGGTGCTCACAGTGGGGTTAGTGAGCCACCACAGTAGCAGCTGATGGAGGAGAATCAAAGAACCAGATCAGCTCTGGGACGTCCTCAGAAGGGTAAAACACAAGGTAGGAAGTTTGTGCTAAACACTGACTTTCTATGTGTTCAACTCATTAACTTCATCAGATCGTATTTATCCACCTGCTGATTTTTAGAGCTTTTTGTCTGCACCAGCTGTTTCTGCTGCTGAAAACCAGTCAAATGTTCATGTACATGAAGCCCATCTTTTAACTGTATTTTCAGGTTTTAGACAAGCAACTGAGCTGCAAATGTCAGAAACCTGGGCATATTTTTTGAATGAGGCCTTTTGAATGAATAGACTATCATGTGATTCTGAGCAGAGGGGGCTGTTCTGGATTTGATGGATGTAGACTGAGGACTGTTCTTTAAACCCAGTAAGAAGCTGAGGACTGGGTCTGCGACGGATCTGGTGTGGTCAGCATAAAGTCCATTTAACCTGCTGAAAACAGCTGGACAGCTCAACCATCCAGCCACAG